ACTGTATTTCTTCATTCTCGATTTCAGCGTACAGATTTTCCTGTAGAATCATTCAATGTAAGACAATATTGTAAAATATAATATAATTTTGGCTATTGTGTAAAATGTGAGACCGTTTTGATGAATTTTTTGGTCATTTTGGGACTATCTTTAGATCTTTAAAATTTTGCCCTAGTAAGGGAAGCTAAATGAGATTTAAGTTGATATATTTAACAAGAAAAATAACGACGCATTTTTTATTTAAAAAATCCTCAAAAAGTATAGTTTACACAAGTGCCCTAATTTTTAAAACAATCAAAAACTTTTCTAGTATGTAAATTTTAAAAAAGATTTTCGGTTCTATCCTATCATTTAAATTTTTAAACAAGTCAAAAACTCTCAAGATATTTTTAAAAATTATTTACAAATCTTTCCTATCATTGAAAATCATTTCGGGAATTTATTTGGTTCAAGTTCATATTTTTAGTCAAAAAACTGTTTATTTTTTCAAAGCATGGATATTTTATTTATTCAAAATTGCAAAATTATTTAACAAAAAAATTTTTTTATGTATTTTTTTGTTTTTTTGTTAAATTATTTTGTTACCTTATTTTTATTAAACATTATTATTATTTAACATCTTTTATTTAACATTTTGATAAATTTTATCTTCCATGCAATATTTCGATCTTTTCTCTGAAATGTTTAGTAAAGCTGAGCTTGGCTATAGCTTTTTACTCCTTCAGCTAGTGCAAAAGGTTATCCGTTGGCAAAAGGTTATTCAATATTTATATTTAAAAAAATATATATCAATAATTATTTAATTAGCCTTTTCAAGTCTATAATCAACCCCTTATTAAAATTATAATTCAATGCTTATTTCTTCAATAATTTTTAAATTAATATAAATAATTTAAAAAGAAAAATTAATTCAGAATAAACTTTCACATAACTTTTTAATATAATTTTTAAATATTTTATATTTTAATTGATCTACATTAGTAATAATTATAAAATAATAATCAATTTTGACTTTTGGTATTATTTTATCAAAATCTTATACTATTTTTAATAATAATTGATCCTACTGGGACAATGATTTTCATGAATATTGCTGATTTTTTTAAAGATTTTATTGATTTTTCTTTATCTTCCAATCAGATCTTAATTTTTATACTTAAATTCAATCTTAATTTAATTTTATTATTAGCAATTCAAGTACAAATTCATCTAATTTTTTAACGATCTTTGTTGGATAACGTCCCAAACATTTAGGCGTTTCATTTTTATATTAATATGTATATGGAAATTTTTATTAAAATCCTAATCAAATAAAATTTTATGAATTATTTAAATCATTCGCTTTAAACATATGGATAAACATTGCTAGTAGATTTACTAAAAACGTATAATAATTAGTTTTTTTTTGAAATTATTTCTAAAATTAAATTATTTTATCAATATTCAATAATTTCTCAAGAATTTTGTTTGAAAATTTATTTTTCGATTTAAGAAGATTTTGTATTATATTTGAATATTAATATTAATAAATTTTAATTTTAATAATTGGATCGTTTATTAAATTTTATGTACAATATTTCTTTACTAATTAATTTTTCTACATAAATAATTTAACATTATAACTATGCCCCATAGTTGATTATTTATTATTACATATGTTGTAACGAGTAGCTCATTGCAGTGGAAAAAATCCTGAAAAATTCCGACTTTCTTAGAACGCTCAATTTAAAAATAATTTATGTAAATTGATTGATTATTGATATACTTCTTTCCATATATTTAAATTATCTAAAATAATTTGTTAAAATTAAAAATCATCACGATTTTTAGAATTTAATTTAAAGCTATAATTTCGAGAATAATAAAACATAAATATTGTGAATTAAATAGTGACTTTTAATGTCAATAATTTACATTTAGTTTTATAATTTAAAATTTATATATTTTAAATTAAATGATTAATTATTTATATGTATTGTAGCCGTTCAGCTAGTCTGTCAAATTGAAATTCAGTTATTCTTTTATAACGAACTTATACACAACTCTTGTTATATAGACTTTAAATAATTAATTGTTTATATTTTTTATTATTTCTAATATTTATTAATTAATCTTATTGTAAATTTTAATTACTCAATTTAATTTAATTTTAGATATTATTTAATTTAAATATATATTGAATAAAATAATATAAAATTAATTAAATAAAATTATTACTCAATAAATTTATTTATTTTTATCTATTAAAAATTATTCATTTTATTAATTTTATTTTTTCTTTTTATTAGTTATCGATAAATAAAATGTTAAACATTTTAAATTAATCATACGATGTTTAATTTTTTAAAGCATTTTATTTTTAAAATTCGCAAATTAAAATCTATAATATATTTAATGATATTAATAAAATTATTTTATTTTTCTATTATTTTTTATATTAATAGCTAATCCTAAAAACTATCTAGTGATAATTAAATTATTATTATATTGCATAATTTACTTGTTCCTTTATAAAAGTTGAATCGCGGTGAATAAATACGTTGACTAAATTATAAAAAATAATTATAAAATATTATAATTATAAAATTATACTAATATATAATTATACTAATAAAATTATACTAAATTATAAAAAATAATGAATAATAAGAAATAGTTTAGATAAAGTTTAGGCTCTTTGTAGTTTGTTTTTATATTTATCAAATTAATAAATAATACTTACAAATTCTCTTCTATTTATTTCTTTTAAAAAATTTTTTCATAATTTATTTTTAAATTTTTTTATTCAAATAATAATCAATAACGTTTAATATACGTTTCAATATACGTAATAATAAACAATATTCGTTTAATTAATATTACATTCATAGCAAAAAAATAATATTAAACTAAATCTAATAAAATTACAAAACGATGCATAAAAATTAAAAAATTAAAATAATACATATGTACTAATTTTAAATTATTTGATCTAAAATTATAAAAAAAGGTAGCTGTGCTGTGAGGACCGCATATGTATATGTACATAGCAGTTTTTTGCATTAAGCTCAAAAGGAAGCCAATTAATTAAATAATTATTTTAAATTTAAATAAAAAAATTCTACTTCAAAATAATTTATTAAATAATTTATCATTAATTTTGTGGCTAAAAATCAAGCAACGTAATTAGAAATAGTAGAATGAAATAAAAAAATTAAAAAAAGCTTAAATAATTTTTATTTTTAAACAAAAAACTACATATTTTAATTTCTAGTTTATAAAAATTATTTTTAAAATAGTTTAAAAATTATTTTTCTACAAATAAATTATTTTTTAAAATTTAATTAAATTTAAAAAGTAAAAAAATTACTGACAAAAATACAGAAATATATTAAAATAATTTTAAAAGGGCTGTCCAAAGGAGACAGCGGAGGTCCGCTCTTGACTAACAAAGATATTAATTATGTAATAATACAAAGATATAATTTATGTTAACTAAATAATTTAATAATTAATTAAATTTTTATATCAACATTGGATGTTAAATTAATTCTTATTTATATAACAAAAATTGAATAAAAAATTTACCTATAAAGATTTGAATTTTATTTTTGGCTTTTTTTTAAATTAAGAAAAAATAAATAAATAAATCATGGAAAGGTATAAAATGAATATTAAATTAAATAATGTTCGATTATTTAATGAAAATTAAATCGCAGTTTTTTAATGTTAGGAGGCCATCTAATGTTAAATTAGTTATGTAATTACAGGAAACAAGTTTAACGGCGAAGAAGAGATTGATAGCTAATAAATTTAATATTGTATATAAATTATTGCCATTATTATAAAAAAAATTTTAAAAATTAAATAAAGTCTAGATCCGTTGAATTAATTTATATTTTTATCGACCTTATGATATAATTTTTTTAATTTTTAACAATCATTATCTGAATTAAATGTTAATTTAATTATAATATATTTAAATTTAAATAGAATCTTATAAAAATAATTTCTTTTCTAAAAATATTTACTTGAAGAGATCAAAAAATTAATGGGAATAAAATCATAAATTTTGTTAAATATATAAATAAAATTTATAATCATTTTATAACTTGATTCAGCAGCAAAAACTACCTAATTTTACGAAAAATTTTAGCAAACCGATGATTTTATCAAAAGTTATGATAAATTTTCAAAAAATCATGCGTTCCAAATATCCTTAAACAGTTTGTAAAATTATCAATAATCAGGGTAATAAGGTAGCTAAAATTTATCAAAAATTTCCATGAACATAACTATCAATAGTATACATAATAAAAAAGAAACTAAGTCGAAAACTGCTTTCTTCGTCGAGATCTCAAATCTCGAAAATCAACGGAAAATAAGGTTACAGTACTTCAAAAAATATTTTAGCCTATTTAAAGCAAATGTTAAAAATTTTCTTTAGGCCTATCTGAAAGCCTATAAAATTTGCTACAAGATACAATATGACACAATTTTCTAAAAAATTTATCCGTGTGAATTCTCAAGCTAGAATAACAGCTTACCGATAATAGTGCATTTTTAGGCTATTTTTTGCTTGATAGTATTTTAAGCTTGAGAATTTACACGGATAAATTTTTTAGAAAATTTTGAAATTTTGTATTTTGTAGCAAATTTTATGGGCTTTTAGATAGGTCTAAAGAAAATTTTTAATATGTGCTTTAAATGGGTTAAAATATTTTTTAAAGTACTGTAACCCTATTTTCCGTTGATATTCGGGATTTGAGATCTCGACGAAGGAAGCAATTTTCGACTTTGTTTTTTTCTATTTTGTTGAGAATTTCTTTCCCAACAATAAAATTAATTTTAAACAAATAAAACTTTTATTTAAAATTAAAATTAAAAAACTTTAAAAAAAAACAGAAGATGGAACTTTATTTAAACACAATTAAATTCTAGAAGAGCTCTGAATATTTGAGAAAGCCCAAAATTATATATAGTCAGAAAAAGTGGGCGGATTTTAAAGAAAAATAGAATTTTCACAAAAGTACAAAGTGAATTTTAAAGAATTTGAGAATGTAAGCGTTTTTTATGAATAAGCATGAAAAAGGGAAAAAATTAAAAATAGATATTTTTGATAAAAAGGACAGGAGACAAAATGGTAAAAAGATAAGTCGCCTTTCGCGACATTCAGGGGGACAAGAAACACAAAAAACAAAAAATATTTTTTTATAAAAAATTTTTTTTCTTTTTAAATTTCTTCTTATATATTTGAGCATGATTGAAATTGACTCGCATGTTGAATATCCCATTCATTAGCATGACGAATTGTTTGTTGAATAGCCTCATTAATTAATTCTAGTTTAGTCCAAAATTCAGCTCTCTTTTCCACAGTTCGGCATCCATCACGGGGAATTAAACTCAAACAATCAGACGTCAAAGCTCTAATACGTAGAAGGTAACCGGCTTCACGAGAATGAGAACCACGACTATCAGAATTGGATGATTGAGTTTTACATTCACTAACTAATTTTTCTCGTTTTGATTTCAATACTGTATAAGCTTTTTCCTCAACTTTTTTGGGAACAATAATTTGAACAGGAGAATTGTAAAATATTTCTTCAGATATTGGCAACTTTCTTTTTGGAATTTTTGGTAAGATCATTTTCTCTTTAACGTCATCTTCCGTACGCTTCATTAATATAGAATTTACTACTTTTATTCCAACCTCCTTTTCCTTCTCTTGGATTTTTCGTAATTCTTTTTCTTTATCTGAAATTTTAAATTGTTCACTTTCTGTAAAAAATTTTTCTATTTTTTGATCGATTTCTTCAACAGTCTTTTCCTTATTAGAATTATCGTTTAAGTCGGGTCTGCTTGAAACAATTTCAGGAATTTGTAAGCTTTTACAAGGACAATTTTTATTCGAGGAAATGTGACTATTGTAGGTTTCAGGTGAGAATCCTTTATTTTTACAATTAGTACAGTTCTTTTAATTATTTCTTTTTCAATGGACTTACTAGTAGATTTTTCCTTTTGAGCTATTTCTTTTTCTTTTGAAGGAGATTTGTTATCATTAATCGAAGCATGAAGATGTTCAGAATTGTCGGATTCATATTCAATAGTTACTTCAGATTCAGAGAAATCTGAATGCTCACTTTCTTCACTAAAAGCATTGTCAGATAATTTAATTCCTTTTCCACCCTTTATAACTTTTTGAGGAGCTGGTGTAGATTTAGGTGGCATAATTTTTGAACTAAAAAATTTAAAAAATATTTTGAACATAACAATAAACAAATACGTAGGTTTACTAAATAAACCTATTTTAATATAAAGGTAAAATAAAAACATTGTAAAATGAATGTAAAAATAAAATGAACGAGAATAATTCAAAATTTTTCTTTTAAACAATTGTGAGGAAAAATTGTTTAATAATGAATCAATTCTTTTTTTATTTATCCAAAATTCTTCAATTTTCTTTCTCACTAACCACAAAAATTTTTTACAAACCATCTTTTTTGCTGAGATGTTTATTTGAAATGATTCATAGATTAACATAGAATTTTTATATTCTAAATATTTATCAATTTGTACTTTTTCTTTATTAAACTCTATGTATTGTATGTAGGTAAATATTAATGGAGATAAAAGATTTAAACTTTTTAACAATGTAATTTCTGAACTTTTTTCCTTTAATGTAATTTTTCTTGAAATTTTTATGTAAAAAATTTGACTAATTTCTGAATTTTTCTGTATTAGACTTGTGTTACAATAACTTGTGTTAGAACAACCTCCCCCTTCAAAAAACATGAATACAATAACGAATTTTAATAAATATCTGTATACTCGAAAAACAAATTTTAACTTAATTATAATACAAAATACTAAGTAAAAGAACAGCAAAATTCCAATAAGTATTAAAAAATTTTTTATCTGTAACACAAATTCTATTAAGTCCGATTTAATTAAATTTTTTAACATTTTTTCAACATAATTCCAAATGGATTGATTATTTATGTTGTCATTTACTTTAACATCTGAATTAATTACATGTCTATTATTTTCAAATTCCAAAATATCAATTAAAAATAATTTTCCGTTTATTTTCAAATCAGTAGTTCCACCTAAACACTCAACTTTGCAATCTAATTTGATATGAGCGTGATCAAAGTTTAATCTTTGTATTACATTTTCACCTACTTCTGAACATTTAGTAGTAAACGCAATGTCTTTATCACAAAAAATTTCAGCTAAAGCCATTCCATTACTAGTTTTACATGTGAAATTCAAATCAGCTCCGGTGCGACAATTATAACAACCTCCAAATTCTAAAATTTTTACTTCACATTTATTCCAATCATCGACAGTTACAAGTCTTAAATTGTTTACTTTTATTACTACATCAAAAGGCATTCCGTAAATTTCGGAATACACATTTAGACCATCATAATTCAAATCTAATGTCTGTGTTTTTATCGGCAATATTCTTTGAGTATCTAATATTAAACTATCTAATTCTAAATTTTTACATTTACAATCTACTTTTTCATTGTCATGATCGGGGAGACATTCTTGACATATTTCTTCCTTTATATCACATTCGAATTTCTCAGCAGCCAAATAATTTTTACAATGTACATTCGAATAGATATCATCTATTAAAGATACAAATTTTTTATTTCCAATAAATTTTCCGTTCATTTCTGGTTCTGGAGGTAACGAAAATTGAGTAACAGAGATAGTAAAATTTTTATCATGAACTATCATTCCGGGTTGAACTTCGAATAAAGATTCTTGATTTTCTTTTGTTTCTTCACTCAGAAAAATTGTTTCACCACTAAACGTGAATATAGGAATCCATTTACAAGTAAAAACTTCATAAATGTCTGGGTCTGTCGGTTCCACGTAAATTCTATAAAACAGACAACTAGAACCGGTACTCATTCCACATTTACACCAGAGAAAACTACATGAAGCGGAACAACGATTATAACCGGTGTAATTTTTCCAAGGTTCCAATTCTTTAATGTCTTGTTCCCAGTTATTATTAACAATAAGGCAATTATCATGGTGACAACTTCCAGTTTCGGGACAAGATTTAACTGTTTGAATTTTAACTTCATATGATCGTAAATATTTTTCAATAATTGGTTCACATTTCATTTTAAATCCTTCTGGGGTTAAATTTATCTGTCCGAGAATTTTATTTTTATTATCTTTAAGTACTATTGTCTGTCTTTCTTTATTATCTGTCATAGTTAGAGTTTCAACAAAGTTCCATGAACAATCAATTTTTCCATTTTTACGAAAACAAGTTTCAGTTCGAGCAGTCCTTGAAATTATTTCTCCATTAGATTCATTAATAAAAAATAATATTAAGACCAATAATCTTTTTCTAAGTGTCCAACGTTTTTTATTTCTTGACAAATTTTTGTGTTTAATTTTTCTCGGAAAACAACAGCTTATCAATTTAAACGTGTTTTTGAGAATACAGCAAATTAAACAAGCAAAAAAGACAAATGCAATTGTGGAACAAGCTATCAAAAAAAGCGATATGAACGGTGAACAAGTGTGATTGATCATTCTTTCCAAACAAAAATAACATGGAATAAGTTTACACGGATCACTCGGCTCACATTTCACTTCATATTTTAATATATTTTTAGTTTTAGACCAAAAATTCACTTCACAATGATGATGTGTAACGAGTGTTTCCTTATTTATTTCAAATTGAAATTGATCAACTCTAGAATGAGTTGTACATGGTCCATCACTACAACAAATTTCATATTTATCTATTTTTTCCGGTGAACTAATTAAAATTCCTTTATCATTACATTCAACCAAACAATCATTACACTGTGTTTTTGCTGTAACTATACAAAACATAAATAGTATTAAACAAAAAGTAAATAATATAGTTGAAATGTTTATTAAATTTTTTGTTAATTCTTTACTAATAATATTTATCTGATTCACTGTTTTAATTTCCTTTGATTTTTCTTCAATTTTTTCATTTAAATTTTCTTCAATTTTTTTAATTTTAATACTTTCAGTTTCTTTATTTTCAATATTTAATTCCAAAGGATATAGTTTATTAATTGGTCGTGAGACAATTGTTCCATTTGGCAACAAAATTTTAACATTTCTCACACAACGTCCATCTTTTGTGTCTAATAATTCTACAATTTTTGCAATTTTCCATAAATTTCTGGGGACAAATTCTTCCTCCAAAATCACTATTTCACCAACATTAGGTTCTCTTTTTGTCTGAGAACGAGGACCTTTCATTGCCCATTGACTTCTATCTCTCAACAAGATTAAGTATTCTTTTTTCCAACGTTTCCATAATTCATTTAAGAGAAATTCTGTAAATACAAATGAATCTTTATATTTGATTACAAAATTCATTATTGAGTCATCTGTTTTAGGAATTTCTAATTCTAAACATAGATTCCGTTGTGGACATAAAAAATCTACAGGTCGCAAGGGAATTAATCCCGGTACGTCAGGATTTTCATCTATAGTTGTTAAAGGTCTCATATTTAAGATTCCTTCAACTTCTGTAGTGAACGTTAACATTTCTTCCCATTGTAAGGTTCTTTTTCCTAAAGTTTTACGAAAAGCATCTTTGACTAACGCCACAATTCTTTCATATACTCCTCCTTGCCATGGGCTTAATTCTTTAATAAATTTCCATTCTAATTCTTTTCCTATTATTTTTAAATGCACTTTACAATTTTTTGCACAGGCTATAAACGTTTTAGAATTATCAGACAAAATTCTTTCTGGACATCCTCTTCGAGCGGCTAATCTTTTCAAAACATTTAAACAAGTATCGGCTTTTAAATTTTTAACTGGCTCCAAATAAACAGCTCGTGTACAAAGACAAGTGATTAAAGTAATCCAGAATTTTTTCTCTGTATTATCAATTTCTCTATAAAAAGAAGGACCTAAATGGTCTATTCCAATGCTTTTAAAAGGCGAAGTACTTTGAATCCTATCATTAGGCAAATTTGGAAATTTCGGTAGCATAAATGGACTTGATTTCATTTTTATACATTTTAAACATTGTTTGAGTGTTTCTTTTACCTTTCTTCTCGATTGCGGGGTCCAGAATCGACTTAAAAATTCAACAAGTGTACTTTGAACACCAACATGTTTGCATTTTTCATGAATGTTATTTATTAACAATGGCAAAATTTCAGAGTTTTTCGGAATAATTACTGGGTTTTCTAACTCAAAATTTGCATCACTATTTTTAATCCTTGATTTTAATCTTTTAATTCCAATTTCATCCTCAAAGATTTCCCAATTATTAAATTCATCTATTTTTTCTTTTTGTACTATTTTTATTAAAAGATTTTCTGCGGTTTGTTCAAATTTATCTTTTGATAGAAACAATAATTTATTTTTCCATTTATCACTTTTCAAA